TTTTTTATGAGAGTATAACATTACAACATGATATAAAACTCAAAAAAGTTCATTTTACATGATATTGCCCCTTTAACTTGTCATAGTAAGCACATCATTATCAAAGTGTGTATACTTTTTTTTTCCTTCTGAGCAGTGCTGGACTGGTTGGTGCAGCCCAAGCCTCGGTGGTTAGGGGGTAACGGCTGGCTGCTGGACGGCCCTGAGGAGGTACTGCAAGGTGGGTCCACACACCTGAACCATCAAAATGAATGCAATGAACAAGTACGCCTTGATGCTCTTTTTAAAGTGAGACTGAAGTTACTCCACTGTCTGGTATGTGTGCACACATCAGCTGAGGCCTGCAGCACAACTGAGGACGGAGACGAGCCTCTTCACTGTCCGACGGGCTACGAGTGCCACATCATCAACCCAGGAGACCCGGCTGCTGGCATCCCTAACCGTGGCCAGTGCATCAAGCAGCGCAGCAACTCTGGTATGAGAGATCTTTGCTCATGATGAATGCACACACATTTTATCTAACAGCACTAAGCTTTAAAGTTCCCGTGGAGCGGCAGAGGGCGGGAGCAGAATGCTCGGCCCTTCAGTTGTCCTGACTCTTGGCAGACCGCATGGGTCCAGATGCCAAGTTTCTCTTTTTAAATGCATCTAAAAATATACACAAACCTGGCAAAACACTTAGAATGCAAAAGGATGAACTGGTGATGGCTGGATGAAATAATAAACCGCCACTCCCCACCAATAAGCTAATGATTTAATGAAGTGCATTTGTAGTTTGCACGTTTATCACATGAGCGTAATGAGAAGTTTGATATCAAAGTATTTTAATTCCTCATAGATGGACGAGGTTTGAGACACAAACCCCTGAAGGACTACAAAGAATACTTTGGTAAGTAGTTTTAAAAAGACACCTTGCAAACCTTTAGATGAACTGAAAAACTAAGAAAATACAAGTGAAATAGAAAATAAAATGTGAATGCTGATTCTGAACKATTTGTTAAAATTTGCTGAACTAATTAAAACAGCACAGCTGAATGCAGCAAGATGCTAGCTAAAAATCACAGAGCATTAAGCTAAAATAAGAGAGCGGAGTGAGGCTAAAAGAGTACAAYGTGAGCAAACTTAAATCCTGATTCGTCATTCAAACAATAAATATTTCATAATGTCTTTTTTTCCTAACAGGATCCAGTTCTAATAACGCAGTCGGCTATGAAAAACACCATCACAAACATCTGGGATGAAATAAGTCTTCAGGTATTAAACTGTTTCATCATAATGAAAAATAATCTGTTCTTGAAAAACCTTTTTTTTACTTTTGTATCTCTTCTCAGATCAGTCTGACTTCACCCTCAGCTGGACCCTCAGCAGACCCTCCATCCTCTGATAAGATCTGATCCGTGTGACGGCCTCTTTATGAAGCCTCAGTCTGTGGAGAGGCAGGTCTGAATGATGGACCCCACGTGTTTCACAGCCAAAGAATTAGCTGCTTCTGTCTGAAGTCTGTGAAATAAAGGATGAGTGTGTTGATGGAAAAGCTGAGTATGAGCAGACAGGTTGTGCACCAAAGCTTTTCCTAAATCATCTTAGTAAAAAAAAGTTTTTTAGTTYCTTTCACCCCTCTTCATTCTCACCCTCAAATGCAGATTCTCTAATCTTCTATCAGAGAAAATCACACCCTCGTGGTCGTTTTCCTTATTATCAGATGAACTCTGCTTCAGTTTCTCCTCTTGAACCTGAAAAGTTTTATAGACAAAGAGAAATCTTTCCAGCTGAGTTTGCATCTCTGAATCAAATCCAAATGTGATGTCATATCCACAATAATAATAACTAGAAKTAAAACCACATGAGTGTTCGTATTTGTGTGTAGAACAGCTGGGGATTTGTTCCAGACAGAATTAATGTTGTAAAAGTGGAAGAATTTAAACAGGTTTGTTGATAAGGCCTTTTGTCCTGTAAGGAATATAAAAAAATGAATTGAAATGATCATAAATTGAAAAATAATACAAATTTATAAACTCAGAATTGTCAATAGTTTGGTACAAATGTTATTTACAGTAAGTTGGAAAATGTCTTAAAATCATGTATGTACAAAAACATCACATGACAAAATGCTTATTTTAAACTTTTTGATTTTTGTGTTTGTGTGTTTGTGTGTGATCTGACAATGACCTGAAAAAGAAAATGATCATTCGACTTCTTTATTTAGTRCAGAAATGATAAAAGATCAAATTTAAATTTTTCACAGTAAATGATTTTAAATCAAATATATATTTTTATGTCTTCAACTCAAATGGTGCTATTACAAGATGTGTGTGTGTGTGTGTGTGTGTGTGTGTGTGTG